AAAAGTCTCACATAGGTTGAAAGTGAAGGGATGGGAAAAAAAATCTTACAGGCAAACAAAAAGAAAAAAAAAGCTGTGGAAGCAATATCATATCTGATAAAATAGATTTCAAAATGAAGGCCATAACTACAGACAAAGACAGCCACTACATAATAGTGAAAGGATCTATCCAACAGGAAGATATAACCTTGATAAACATATATGCACCCAACATAGGAGCACCAAAATACATTAAAAATCTTCTGGAAGACTTCCAAGGAGAAATCAACAGTAATACAATCATAGCAGGGGACTTCAACACCCCGCTGACATCACTGGATAGATCCTCTAGACAAAAATTAGCAAAGAAACAGAGGCTCTAAATGAAGCACTAGACCAAATGGATTTAATACATATCTGCAGAGAATTACACCCAAAAACTACAGAATTCAAATTCTTCTCAAGTCCACATGGGACATTCTCAAAGACAGACCACATGATAGGATACAAACTAAATCTCAACAAGTTCAAAAATATTGAAATCATATCAAGCATCTTCTCAGATCACAATGGCATGAAACTAGAAATCAATTACAACAAAAACTTGCAAAGACATTTGAAAACATGAAGGCTAAATAGCATGTTATTAAACAATGAATTGGTTACCAAGGAGATCATGAAAAAATTAAAAACTTCCTGGAAACCAATAAAAATGAACACACAACTAAACAAAATCTATGGGATGCAGCAAAAGCAGTTCTGAGAGGGAAGGTCATAGCACTACAGGCTTACCTCAAGAAACAAGAAAAATATCTAATAGATAATATAACATCACAACTTAAAGAATTAAAAAGCAAACAAAAATAAAACCCCAGAGCAAGTAGAAGTAAGGAAATAATAAAGATCAGAGCAGAAATAAATGTCATAGGGACCAAAGAAACAATTCAAAGGATCAATGAAACAAAGAGCTGGTTTTTCGAAAAGATAAACAAGATTGATGGACCCTTAGCTAGACTTACCAAGAAACTGAGAGAACCCAAATACACAAAATCAGAAACAAAAGAGGAGAAGTAACAACTGACACCACAGAAATACAAAAGATAATTAGCAACTACTATGGCAACAAATTTGACAATCTAAGCAAAATGGACAAATTTCTAGAAACACATTGTCTTCCAAAATGAAAATGGGAAGAGATAGAAATTTTGAACAGAACAATAACAACTAAGGAATTTGAAGAGGTAATCAAGACTCTCCCAGCAAACAAAATCCCAGGCCTAGATGGCTTCACGAGAGTTCTACCGAATATTCAAAAAAGAACTAACACCCATTCTCCTCAAACTATTTCAAAAAATTCAAGAAGAACGACTTCCAAACTCATTTTATGAGGACAGCATAATTCTAATTCCAAAACCAGGAAAAGACACTACAAAGAAAGAAAACTATAGGCCAATATCTCTGATGAACATAGATGCCAAAATCTTTAACAAAACACTAGGAAATCAATCCAGCAATACATTAAAAGAAATTATTCACCATGACCCTAAGAAGCCTGAAACACCAATCAGGAAGAATATATGTACCCCCATGTTCATAGAAGCACTATTTACAATAGCTAAGATCTGGAAACAGCCCAAGTGTCCATCAGTAGACGAATGGATAAAAAAGCAGTGGTACATATTCACAATGGAGTACTATGCAGCTGTAAGAAAGAAAGATCTCTTATCCTTTCAGACGACATAAAGGGACCTGGAAAGTATTATTCTAAGTGAAACAAGTCAAGCAGAAAAAGACAAATACCACATGATCTCACTTATTTGTGGAATATAATGAACATAACAGTTTGAGGAATAGGGTAGACTCAGAGACGTGGAAGCAGGGTACAGACTGACAACCCTCAAAAGAGGGGAATGTTGGGGGAGGGAAGAGATAAACCACAGAACTTATATGCATGTACGCATAACCAATGGACATGGACGATAAAGCTGGGACGGGGTGGGGGAATGGGGAGGAGGGTGTCAATGGGGTAAAAAAGGTGAAACATCTATAACAAAAATAAAAACAAAACAAACATAAAAACAACAAAAACAAAACAAAACAAAACTATATCTCTGGCCCTGGGTGGTGTGGTTCAGGAGTTAAAGTGTCAGCCCACACGCCGGAGGGTCGCAGATTCAATTCCCAGTCAAGGGCACATGCCTGGGCTGCAGGTGAGATCTCTTGCCCTGGTCAGGGCACATGGGGGGGGGGCAACCAATCAATTTGTCTCTTTGACGTCGATGCTTCTCTCTCCCCTCCATGCCTTCCTCCCTCCCTTTCACTCTCTTAAAAGTCAATGGAAAAAATATCCTTGGGTGAGGTTTAAAAAATAAAAATAAAAATATAACTCTGTTGCTCCCTAGCTGTATACCTCATTATCCTTAAGTATGTATCATTTCTATATCTAAAAAGTAGGGTTAATATAGTGCCCATTTTTTGGAGTTATCATGAAGATCAACTGATTTAGCCCATGTATATGGCTAATAGAAAGCAATTATAAACGTTAGCTATTATTCCTATCACTAATATTAGGTAGTAGTTATGCATGTGTTATATCTTTTCTAGCCTAACTTTTATTGTTTTCTCATACATTTTGTTTCATATCCCTAATTGTGAAATTTAAAGACATGATTACCCCCAAACACAGAGATTTGGCTTAATATAAGAAAGACATTTCCTCTTAAACTATTGTCATTATTGCATTGGAACGAGTTAAAAAGACTGGTTAGAAGTACTTTGAATAAGTCAGTCTAGGGAGAATATATGGCAAGTCAAAAATTTATATTATAATCAAAGGTGGTATGGTTATGAATGAACCATAAAATCAAACTATGGGCAGATAGTATATATATCATTCATAACAGCAGTCATTTATTCCATTAGAGGTTACCTTTATTTTATATTGCATAAATAGAATTTACAAATGGCTGTTGCCATAGCATTGCAGAAACAGTCAACAATTTTGGAGGATTTTGACATTTAGTTTAAATATGCACTTACTATTATAAATATGCACTAGAAACAATTTCATGAACATGCCATGATTCAAAGCATTTATGTGAAGGGGAAGATGATTTTATTATTATTTCACTGGCCCAAGCATTAAAATGAAGTTTGGATTTATTTAGAATAGCAATTTTTCAAATAATCATTTATTTGCATAGTTAGTAATACATTCTAAACCACTAAAACTGTCTCATTTTAAAAAACTGTAGCATAAATTTTGGCTCTCCATCATTGGAAATACCTACTAATGGATAGATTTGTTTCAATATCAATGGATTTTACTTATGCAATTATTTTTTATCTTATGTTAGAGTGCAATCAAGATTTCATTTTAGAAGAGATAAAAATAAAAGTTTTGTCATCATTTTTAAACATCTAAAGCCCAAAAGTTATAAAATCTTATAGAATATGCTGTAATATCCACAAGACATGGAAATATTTACACCAGACACCATGACAAGTCACATTTTTTACACAAAAAAAACTCTTTAAGACTAATTAACAATGCAGAGATGCAGGCGTAATCAGCTCACTGTGGATACATAGGAAACCAAGAGAATGACTGAAACAAGAAGACTGACACAGAGAAAAGAAGCCATCAGGCAATGGGGAGAAGAATTTATTAAATTCAGCTCACATCAATCTCTATCTATTAAACAGTTATTAAGTGATTTACTGTCTGCAAAACATCTAGGTGCTTAAAAAATAAAGAAAGATGAAAAAAGAAGAGGAGGGAGAGAAGCAAACAGGAAGGAAAAGGAGGGAAAAAAAAGACCGAAATCACAGTGCTCTTCATCACGTGGGAGTCTTCCCGAGTTTGCATTACATTCTAGTTAGAGAAATACTATGGTTAATGTCCCAACTTAAATACACTTGGCAGATCTACCTGTCAGTTAGAGAGGACTTCAGGTTACGCAGAAGGACTGGGTCCACTTTGAACATTAGCAGAGTTGAACATCTCCAGCAGTTGCCGGTAGCTGTTCTTGACAGCTACCCACCTGCTACTGAGACCTGCAGGTCGGTGTCCTCTTTACTGTGGGGCTCTGACAGACTGCTTAGGAGGGCGAATGTGCACCAGCTCCTTCCACTCCCTCCTTCCTACTACCAGCCACCAGTTACATGAAAAGACACTTCAAATGGACATGAAAACCTTCAACAAAAGCCTTCTGGAAGAAGACAGGCAGCATCCATGCTCACCGTAGCTTCAAATTTTCTGGAGGCCCTTCTTACTGTGACTGAGGAAAGCGCTCTGGGCACTGTGACTTTAAAGGCAACATGCAAATAACAAGGCATTAAACAAACTTCAGCCTTCACAGGCTGAATGAGGAACAGTGAGGAGAAATATTCAATTAACCGGGTCCAACTAATGGCACATTCAATCAATGTACAGCCCTTACTCAAGGTTCTTTAATAACCTTGAGGTTCACCTACATTCTCAAAAAAAAAGTGTGAAATAAAATGAACATTATCTCTCTCAGGTTGCCCTAGAGAGCACTGCTATATTCGTTACAATTTGGGCCCAGAAAATTGGGGGGGGGGGTGTAATGCAGGAAGAGTTTAAATTCTGGCTACAAACATAAATAGGTTCCTTATAATTTCCATCGAAGATGTTACTTGGTGGATGTAGGCACAGGCCTGGACAATTTGAAAGTATAGAGAAGAAATCACAGATCTTGTCATTTAGGGCCAGGGGAAGAGCTTTTAGAAGTCATTTGTTCAGGTCTCCCACTTTTGATGTGAGGAACTGAGACTCAAGAGATGGATTGACATCCCCAAGACAACACAGTGACCTCGTGGGACAGAGAGGTCTCAAGCTTGTATTTCCTGTCATCACCTTGAGTTCTTAAAACTGTGGTGCAAGTCTCCTGGGGTGATCAGCGCATGGCGATCACATTTGTTAACATCTGTGAGCTGCAAAATGAACTAGAAATAGACGTGATGCCTCCCTTCCAAAGGAAGCACATTGCTGTACTCACCTACAGGGAAAAACTCGCTCATTTTCTTTTTGTAGATTTTGAAGTCGACTTCTAAGAAGACACAGAAGATGATTCGATCCACCTAAAGACAAACAATAAACACTCAAAGTGAAAGGAAATATGGCAACTGTCTTTTCACAACATGGTCTTGGAGCAAAGATCAAATGGGAAAGCCTCCTGCAGATTGTGGGTGCTGCGCCACTAACTACATAACAGGACTAAGTGAAGCTCAAGTGTGAGTGCGTGAGAGTGTGTATATGTATGTATGTGTGAGTGTATGTGTGAGTGTGTATATGTGTGAATGGGTGTGTATGAGTATATGTGAGTGTGTGTGAGAGTGTGTATATGTATATGTATGTATGTGTGAATGTATGTGTATATGTATGTGTATACGTGTGCACAGGTGTGTATGAGTGTATGTGAGTGTGTGTGTGAGAGGGCATGTGTAGAGTGAGACTGTGTGTATATGTGTGCATGGGTGTGTATGAGTGTATGTGTGAGTGTGTGTATGAGTACATGTAAGTGTATTTGTATGTGTGGGAGTGTGAGTATATATGTTCATGGGTGTGTGTATGAGTGTGTGTGTGTGTATGTGAAAGGTGTATGTGCTTTTTATGTACATAAACCATAGCCTCTTGGGTGGAAAGTTGTTATATAAATCAAATAAGGAATAATAAATGACAATGAGCCACTTTACAGTGAGCAATAAAAAGATCTGAGATTCTGACAGGATACCTAGACTTTATGTTTTACAAAACAGCCACATGAGAGGTGTACAGCAGAATGACAATAAAGTATGTCAGTAAACAAAGCTTTTTCCTACCCTTGTTAAACAAATATATTTATCAAACACGATAGCATTTGAATACAGCCTAATACGCTTCTTCCAGTTTAATCTGCATGAAATCACTTGCTCTTAGTTTAACATACTCAGAAATGCAGCAGAAATAAAATGTAATTAATTGACAGTTATATGAGGCCAATATAAATTTAATCTAGTAAGCATTATGGAATAAGTAAATGCCACCTCAAAAGTAAAATGTGTGTGCCATCCCACTTCTCTGCTTTGAGAGTTCCTGCCTGTGAGGAGTTTCTCTGAGACACTCGGGAGGGGCGCGGAAAGTGGAGAAGAGAGGAGGAATGTGAGTAATAGCTCACATCTATCTGATATTGAATCAGTGACTCAATTTTGTGCCTTGAAATAAATACTTTTTTAGTTCCTTTATTGTAACAATGTACAATAAGTTAAAAATTACTCAATCTATCAAACTACAAGTGGTAATTGAACAGAACATGACGGGAGGCATTTCTCTTGACAGTAAGGAATGGAAGTGGGATGTGCACGTGGCAGGACATGAAAGAATACAAATGCACATCATCCACCCAGACCTGTGGCTCTCCCAGCCCGTGGGGCTCAGCCTCATGCTAGCCATGTCCAAGGTTCCTCGGAGGAGAAAAGATCTACAGGGGTGGGAGTAGGGAGAAGAAGGCTGGCACACAGAATCCCCAGGGTTCCCTGATGGAAGCTCAGAGACCTGGCTCCCTGACTGCTGCACAAGTCTAGACCCACATCTCGATACAATGCCTCCTGGGCACTCCCTTGACTTGTGTGGTGTTACCACCAACCACCATACAGCCCCCGTAACCGCCTGCATGGATAGATTATAAGAGAAATCGCCTGGCCTTCCAAAATGAAAGGACTGGTGTGCAAATGCCCATATTTTCTTTCCCTGTATTCAGATGAGTTGCTGGTATCCAGTCCTGTCTGCATATTAATAACATTTTCTTCATATGTAAAAGCCATCATCATCAACTTACTCTGCAAGTAAACTATAAATTTAGCTGCATAAATGATTGTCTGTGCAATACAGAATGCTAGTCTCCACGCCCCTTATGGTGTGTTTATGCCCTGTGGCTAAAGATAAATATAATGTTGAGCAATAGAAACAAGTCACAAGGGAATATATACTCTGTGATACCATTTATACAAGCACAAAGATACAACAGGTTAGGGACTCAGTTGCAAGCATGAATATGCAGAAACATAGGAATGGCACACACAAACTTCAGGGTCATGACTCCTGGGGAGTGGGGGAGGTGAAGAGATGGACAAGTAAGGCTTTAACCAAAGAGTTAACATTTTACTTATTTAGAAGGGAAAGAGATTTCAGAAAACATATTGCAAAGGGGAATAGCTATTAACTATGGGGGTAAGTACATGTTTATCATATCATTTTTATACTTCCTTGTATATTTGAAATACTTCATAATTAAAAGTCCTAACACTAAAAATTAGACTATGCAGCTGTAAAAAAGAAAGATCTCTTATCCTTTGAGATGAAATGGAGGAACCTGGAGAGTATTATGTTGCGTGAAATAAGCCAGTCAGAGAAAGACAAGTATCATATGATCTAATTTATTTGTGGAATATAATGAACAAAATAAGGTGATGAACAAAATAGACCCAGAGACATAGAAGTAGGATTCAGACTGACAAACTTCAGAGGAGGGGGTGGTGGGAGGGAAGAGATAAACCAAAGAACTTATGCTTATAAGCACAACCAATGGACCTAGACAACAATGCTGGGGGGGGGGGGGGCAGTGGGAATGGGAGGAGGGTGTCAATGGGGGAAAAAGGAGAAACATCGGTAACAAAAATAAATTAATTAAATTGCAAAAAAATTTAGAGATGCATTTGACACACTCTACTCTCCAGCTGCACTGAACTACTTGTAGTTTTCAAACACCATGATTATTCACACTTCTGTACTTATGACGGTTAACTTTTTCTCCAGGCTTCAAATGGTCAGATTATTTCTAAAACCACCTAAATGAGATCAAAATCAAAACAAGAAAATGTGACTCAAAGCAGATCTAACAAGAGCCTTCTGGACAGTCTCATTTATACTCATATTTTCTTAGTTTTATGGTCACTTGGTATAAATTACAGAATTTTGAAAAACATTCATGTAGCTTGTGTGTGTGTGAGTGTGTGTGTGTGGAGAAGGGTTAGTGGTGATACTATTCACTGCTATTAAGTGTACTTTTAAAAAAAATTTTTTTTATCCTCTCCCGGGGACATTTTCCACATTTTTGTTCAGATAGAGTGGGAGGGAGAGAGAGAGAGAGAGAAACATCGACGTGAAAGGGACAGAGTGGTTGCCATCTGCACGACCCAACCAGGGCCGGAGACAAACTATAACTGAAGTATGTGCCCTTAGTGGGAACCGAACCCGAGTCTCTCTGGCTGATGCTCTAACTGCTGAGTCAAACCGACCAGGGCTATTAAGTGTACTTTTAAACATCACACAGACTAAATACAGATTTCTTAATTATTGCAAAGAATTATAATCTACTTTCAGCAGTTTAAGCTTTGTTACCATGGAAATTTTATGGGTTCAAAATTCAGCAGTCTGATTTATTTTCCCAGACAGAAGATGGATGATGAGGAAAAAGTACTCTAATTTTAAATTAATTAAGTGGCCCAGTCCCCTGACCTTGTCTTCAAGCATAACACTGAAAATATCTTGGAAGCAAAATGAATTCAAGAATTAACTTCATTTACCAAGTACTTGTTATGTATATATACGTCCATGTATTTATAAACATGTGAATAATTATAGTCAAGACCTCATTTTGGTTACAAGGCATGTGTTCAACCATTCAAGGTGGGTATTGATCAGTGCTTGTGGTAGACTGTGTTTTCCAAGAAGGTGTGCAGAAAGAAGACTGGTCCTCAGGCTCCTCCTAATGGGATATGCCAATACTCATCTCATGGAGAGGTGGAGACTTTACTTCCTCCTCTTGAATCTGGGAGTGCCTGCAGCTCTGGCGGAAATGATATGTAACTTCTGAGTCCATGTCATAGAAGGTGATGTGGTTTCTGCCTGATCCTCTTTTGAGGTTCACTCTCATACCCAGTCATTATGACAGGTAGAAGCAGAGATATCCCATGAAGAAGGCATGTGTAGAAGTTGTAGCCAATAGCCCTAGCTGAAAGTAAATTTCGGCTCCTGGCTTTTGAGTTACCCCATGTGATGCCACATGAAGCAGACATATGCTGTTCCTGCTGAACTCTGCCCAAACTGCAGATCGTGAGCAAAACAGAAATACATTCCTAGAGATCTGATATTCTTCTGGCTTCTTCTTATTGCCACTTTAGAGATTTTTTCTCTATCAGCTATGTGACACTGGACTCTTGCTGAAAAGCTCAGACTGAATAGATCAAGTAGAAACCACAATTGGGTGACAAAAAATATGTAGGAAGCCTAACAGCTACATGACTGAGAGGCTCAAAAACCAACCTGTGCAAAGGACGAAGGGCCTGGTGATCCATTCTGGCCCGGGGTAAGTTTCATAAGACTATTTATCACTACCTAAAGATGAGGCTCAGGAGTATGGTTTCAACTTTTCTTGTATGTTAGGCACTAGAATGGTTTTATAAAATGGGTGTTCTTGAGAAACTATGTTTATTCACTTATTAATTAGCTATTAACTGAGCACCTTCAATGTGTCGGGCCTCTCAGGTACCACTCTCTCATAGTAAAACTTGAATCCAGAACTGAGTGATTATTTTTTCCAAGGTCAAACAATTAATTAGTGGCAAAATCTCAGCATCTTAACTTCATGTCCAGAATCCTTTCTGTGATGTCACCCTCTGAGTGCTATACCTGTCACTAGCTCTGTGACATTGGAAAGCCATCATTTTGCTGGGCCCCAGTTTTCATGTCTTTATAAAGAAAGGATTGAATTGTATTCTCTCTTTAAAAAAAATTTTTTTCTTTATTGATTTTAGAGAGAAAGGAAGGGAGAGAGAGAGAGAGAGAGAGATAGAAACATTGATGAGAGAGAACATCAATTGGCCGCCTCCTGCATGCCCCCCACTGGGGATTTGGCCCACAACTTGACCATGTACCCTGACCAGGAATCAAACCGGCGACCTCTGGTGCATGGGTTGATGCTCAAACACTGAGCCACACCAGCCAGACTCTCTTTATATTTTTTAATCTCAGTTATAGTGTATCCCTGTGGTAGTTTTGTGCTCCATCAGCTCAGGTAAGGTGGAATTAAATTTCTGTGTGG